CAGCATACATAATAAGCAATAGTGTGGAAACAAAATCTTTATTCTTAGTTGTTTCATAATAAACAATAATTATTTGATTCTGAAGCATTAGTGTCAGTAAATCAGCTACAATGTGGATTATGTAACCTATCAATTCAAAGATTAGTAGTCATAAAAACAAGCAATAGCAAGTTGGATTCTTGATCAAATTAGGAAAAAAGCTGTGAAGCAAAAGAGATTCCCCAACCTCATCAAGGATCAATTTGGAATTAATAAACCAAACAAACCCAATACATCCCACTCGAAAGTCGAGGGAGGGGGGTGGGGAAGGTACGCTGAGAGATACCTCATGTAATCTATTTCAACACAAATTAACTAATCCTTTGCCTCAACATAGTTTGCTTCCATTTATATCTACTTTAAGGCAGCAAGTGTAAAACCAAATCAAAACAAACGAAAACAGTATATCCCACCCCGAAGGTAGGCTCTTTGGGGAGATATCACATACATATAATCAAAAAAAGCTGTTTTTAAAAGACAAATTTGTAAAAGATGCAAAGAGGCTATCTAGCTAAAAAGCACAAAGAATATTTCTAACCCAAGTGAAGACAATTCCTACTTGCAATCGACTACCCGAATATGCTAGTGAAAAGCTTTGTATGGCTGTAAAACACATACTTAGTTTCATGAATCTATTGCCATACACAACAAGAGTATGGGTTGAGTGCTTAAGAATTTAGCATTTATCAGTACGACATGTTTTGGCTACTTTCCTCATGCCAGCTATGCAGAGTTCTGATAACAAATCTCCAACCAGTAAATGTACCTAAAATATTTCCATAGCATGCAGAGCTTTATCCCTTGGGTCCCATTAACTCCCCACAAGCAGATTTCGGAATCATCTCAATGATGTCCTAGTAATTTTACCCAAAAATAAGTATTCACTTTCAAAAGTAAATGCCTATGAATGATACCACTAGAGATAATAAAAAGAACGAAAGATCAATGAGGAAATTATTAATATCTTCTCCTGATGTCAAATTCCCTTGAGGTAGATTCATTATGAATGATATTCAATTAATGTTCTTGCTTATTAGGGTTGAGTTCCGGTGAGAATGAAAATTAAGGTGAGAAGCGTAAGAAGGGATCTCCACCCTCGGATGCACATTAGAATATGATGCACCGTATCAAGCGCAATACATGGGTGGGTTTGAGATTAAAGGTGATCAAGGGTCCAGATCCCTTCTTAGACTTCTCATCTTAACTCTCATTCTCACACGATCCTTCGCCTTGCTCATTATCACACCTATTAAAAATAAATTTTCAGATCTAACAAAATTCATGGTCGTGAATTCACGACTGCAATTATGATAACTGCTAAAATATTAAGATAACACGTGATGCTGATTGACACCTGAAATGATCAACTAACAAATAACTCGATGCTCCTTTCCCCTAAAGTTTAATGAATTTATCAACAATGATTTAACGTGCAAGAGAGGATTAGTAAAGTTATTAGGTTCAGTTGCTTGTAGAGAATGAAGAACAAAAACATAGAAATGTTTAGGATATTACACAATGATTAGAGATCAATGATCTTCGTCCAAATAACATTAATCAGCGCAACGATTCAAGATTCAAAAGTAGATGAAATATCCAAAAGGTTACATAAATGCATACTTCAAATAGAGATGCACTTAAAGCAAAACATCTCAAATCTTGTTGACTAAATCGGACATAAGAAATATGAGAACCATACTCTGCATCATCAACCAGAGGGAGCCTCGGTTGTGTACGGATAACGTGATATAGGTTCCAATGATAAGTTTTTGAATAGAGTATTCCTCGTCGGACAGCTCTACCCAAACAGGGGGCCACTCGATGGTGAGTGAAGGTCACTCAGTTGCATGAGAAAAGACCAAATCATACAAAAACGGTTTTTGACTTTTCCAATATTTATACTCATTGTTAATCAACTACGAAAGCTCCCTTATCTTCTCCATATCAACACTTGTTTCTTCAACGGTCTTCTCCCTTGTTTCACTGTCTATCTTTTCTAGATGTATGTTATTGTCATGCTCTATTTTATTGATGCTACGGGTTGAATAGGTTCACTTGAACTTATAGCATCTTTATCTCCTAAATCAAGAACTGAAGGTTGGAAAACCAAATGTAGATGGAGGCGGAGCACAAAAGGGATGTCTTTTTGGGTAAACCTCATGGCCTTCGCAAGGGGAAGGAATGCAAAGAAGTTGTTTCAATTTTCCCTCATGCAGCATTAATCAACCTCAAATCAGAATGTTGACCAAGCAAGAGACCAATAATCACATAAACACATATACCAGCAGAACTCTAAACCCTAGTTTCATGAACTTCCCTAAAATTGCTACCCAAATCAACATTTAGTACTTATTTGGAACTTAGAATCTTATTGAACATTGGAAGAACAATTAAATTCTCTATTGTGGTTCGCCACCATCTACATTTCGTCATTCATATTCTTGATTTAGGAGATAGAGATGGTTTAAGTTCAAATCAGGAATAGACCTATGTATACCCAAGCGGTTCCGTGCCCCCGCTCAACTTATTCTTTGAGGTATGAAAGGTGCAAACATTGATGCCTCAGGATATTGAAAATATAAGAAACATCAATCAAAAACCCAAAAAAATAACCTCGAAATCAACCAAAAAAACTGAGAAGTCCTTCCAAAATCCTTCAAGAATGGAATTCGGCTAAAAACACTGTCACGCGATTTTGTGGACCTTTTGATCTAACTCGCTTGGCAAAGATCATTTCAGATGAACATATTCAACCAGTGTAATCAATAAGGATGGCGAGAATAACATAAATCTAGAAAAGATACATAGTGAAACAAGGAAGCAGATCGGTGAAGAAGAAACAAGGGTTGAAATAGGGAACTATGTAGCGACTACAAATGAAGCAACCGAGTGGCCTTCACTCACCATCGAGTCACTCTCTCATCGGTATAGGCAGAATTCACTGTCCAAAAGATTATCCTCGAAACCCCTGCTGCTGATCATAAATCCAAACACTTCGTTCTTGCAGAAATGAGGCTCCCTAGTTGAATGATGCGACTCACTTTTAGGGGAACCTTGAATCGGATGAATGTACCAGTAACCAAGCTTCTGCCATTTCTAGAGCGCTTCTCTGGTAGGGTTTTCACTAATATTATTGGGTTTTTATGTATTGTTTTAGGGGTGTTAAAAGTGATTGTTATAAAAACAACTTATAGATTTACGTGCATGTGATACCGGTAATAAATATTTTTAAGTGTTTTGATAAATAATTTATATTGGTATCAAATCGGTAATAAAAAGTTTTAAATAAGTTAAACACTTCTGACTTATAATAAATTGATAAGTGTTTTTATAAAAAAATATAAATTATTTTTTTAGTCGATTTAAATATTTTCAATTTTGGTCCAATTATATATGATTTAAATTTGGAAAATTAATTTAATAGTTATTTTTATCGATTGGTTTCACCTCTTAATAATTTTTATATAAGATTTATCAAAATAGCCTTAGGGGATGTTTGTTTGGCTCTTAATGGTTACATTAAGAGCCAACCTCTTAATCGGTAAGAGGTTAGGTCTGTTTGGCAAAAAAAACAACTCTCTTAATGGTTACAATAACCTCTTAACCATTTTGCATCTACTACCTCACTCAACCATTCAGATCGTTCTTTTTCCAATTTTACCCTTCCCACCCCTTCTTCCCATCTCGTCTCTTCACGCAGGTCGCCATCGCCGGTCACCATCGCTGGTCACCTCCACAGCTTCGCCGGTTGTCGCCGGTCACCTCGCCATCGAGTTGCAAACCCTATCGATCGAAAAAGGGGAGGAAAAAGGATCGAATAGCAAAAACCCTAACATCTCTGTTTTCGCCCTTGCTGTTTCTCCATCTCGATTGAGCCCTAACGGTGAAGGTAACACATCGCCGATCTTCACAGCCCCTCCCCCACCCTCTCGTCGCCGGTCTTCACAGAGGGAACTTTGAGAGGAGATCGATTGAGGGAACGATGGAGATCGTGGAAGCAGACCAAGCAACGATTGAGGGATCGATTCTTCACAGAGGGAACTTTGAGGGAGCCCTAACGGTTAAAATGGAATAAATGGGTTTTTGTTATAGAGGGTTAAAATGGTAATTTATTATCATTCAGAGAACAGTTACCAAACAACATTATTTCATTCAGCACTTAACCATTCTGACCCTCTCAACCATTCTGACCTCTTAACTATTCTGCACTAAATCATTCAGCAACTGCCAAACAGCCCCTTAGATCCGTAGTTTTAAATTTTCTTGCGAACCTAAGTGAAAAATGTAATCTTTGGGGGGATCTGGTCGAAAATGTAAATTTTTTGCGGACCTGGGTAAAAAATGTAATCATTTTTTGCGGGCAGGGATAGAAAAGTGTAAAAAAAAATTATCTTTTAGCAATAAGCCTTGTTTGAAGAGGCTCTTTTTCTAATGATTGATTCAACCTCTGATCAAAAAGATATACCTTGGTTATATTTCATCTAACTCTTGTGTCTTTTGTTTGCGTGCCATTATATTACTTGTGTGTTTGAACTTGGTTATTGCATTTCTGTTGTTCATGGATTGTTTATTGTAGAGGGATCGTCACCTGCACTTCACTAGACCCTGGTTTTCGCACCATTGTGTTGGTTTGATCACATTTGGATTCCGACTCATCTATTTGGGATGTATTGGAATCATTTGGTAATCTTTCGTTAATGATCACGTACGTTTGATGCTTCAGATTTGTGTGTAATCATATAGACGTGACCAAAACCAGTTGAAATCATCTATAACCGGAGCCACCACATTTGAACCTCCATGGCCACAAGGGGATTTTTATTCCTCCTTGGATTTAAGCCCGGGACCTCCAGATACTTTTAACCTTTGGAGCCAAACTCAAACCAATCAGGCACCACCCTTGTGGTTAAAGACTTCAAACCTTCATATCATACCAGAAGGAAAATGACAACAACAATAAAAGCAGCACAAAGTTTGGTTACTTTATTACTTGTATCCTCCATAACAACCACAAAGTTTGAGAGTAACATGTGCTAGAAAAGGAAGACTTTTAAGACTCCATGTTTATTTATATAATTTGCATCTGTTTTAGCCACCTTTAGCATGCTCTGGAGGCTCATTGGTTTCCACAACAAATTGGTAGATGTGTTCAGCCAGCTTCCAGATTTGCAGCATATTATCATTTGCAACACTGGCAATGGTCCAGTCTTCACATGGGTTCCATGACAAATCCACAACAGAATCAGTATGGCCACCATGGATAAAGAGCAACTCCGGTGGCCCACCTTCCGCCTCTAATGGTGTCTGTCTCTGGTTGATCCTGTAAACCAAACCAAAAGAACCCAGTAAAAGAGAGACATATTTGATGTTTTAAAAGAGAATTAAGTTTTATTTTGAGGTTATATTGGTAAAATATAAGTCTGTTCCACCTTGTTCCACCCTGTTCCATGGGGTAGGGGTGGAACAGGCCTGTTCCACTTTGTTCCACTCTATTCCTGTCTTCCACATAAAATTCATGCCAAACATGGGACAGGGATCCCTGTCATGTCCCTGTCCAGTGTACCAAACGCACCCTAAATACCATGCAGGGGGTATGCATACCATGCAGGGGGTATGCATACCATGCAGGGGGTACGCAGACCTTGCCTCTAACCCAAGAGGTAGAGAGGTCATTTCCATGAAGACCCCTGTACGCAAAACAAAAATTAAAAGGAAACAAGCGAACATGCTACAGTTGGCTTTGTGCCAACAAATAACGTGTGCAGTAAACTGAAAATGCATCAGAGATTACAAGAAGTAAATCCAAGACCAGTGTACAACAAACAAGCTAAACATGAAAGGTTGGAAAAGCCAAGACGACTCTTATCAGATTATAATCCCGAGTTTTAAAATCATAATTAAAGCTGTTGTTGCTATATAAATGCAAGTACCAAAGACATCAAAGAGCTATATAAGTCGACCACCACCCTCCAAGTAAAATGCATCAACTCTGAAATGAAGGTTATTCTCCTTGGCTGGCATATATCCCCTCCATCCCATGAAAACTGTTAAATTTTGAGATGTCCCACACATTTGTTACATTTCCTTATTTGAAAAGAATCCCTGTTAAACTAACCTATTTCTCCATTGAAAGTAGAGCAAATTGTGGTTCCTGTGCTTTTTTCATTTTCTTGGTTTTGGTCCCTACAGCTTCTTATTGCAAATTTGCCACTGTCGTATGCACATTTTCTCGGTTTTGGTCCCTCATACTAACGACTGTTAACTTCCATCCGTCAAATGAAGGGCACTTTAGTCTTTTTTCTATTTTCTCTCATTCCCCTCACCAAACGGATGGAAGTTAACAGTCGTTAGTAGGAGGGACCAAAACTGAGCAAAAATGCATACCATATTGGCAAGTTTGCTATAAAAAACTGTAGAGACCAAAACCACGAAAATCGAAAAAGCATAGGGACCAAAACAAATATCTACTCTTAAAACTAAATTGATGGTATTGATTTCTATTCACAAGATTATGTTATTTATCTTTATTGAATCATATTTTAGATATTTGAGGAATAGTCAAAAAGTTAAAGAAAAACCATGTGGACAGAATATCTACTAATTCACACAATTCTTTCCAAGAACGAAGTATAGCAGAAAGGTGACACACCCATCCATGTCTTTGCAAAATAACATTGAATCAAAATCAAACATGAATGTCTCAAAAACATTATAGAAAATAATGAAAAGAAAAGAAGATATTTTGGTTAACAGAGGCTTCATGAACATACCTACTAAGATCCCACACCATGACTCTTTTACCATCACAACCAGAAGCTAACACTTCCGGATGATGTGGACTCCACCCAATCTGATTCACTCCACGCCTGTGATAGCATAGCAGAACTAATCAATCGGTGCTGGAAAATAGAAAGGCATATGCTTCTGATAATATTTAAAGATGGAAATGAGAAACGTGCATAAGCTCTTACTTGTGACTCTCAAGGGTATAGAGAGTAGTGGTAAATTTTCGTAAATCAAACAACTTCACAGTTTTGTCTATTGACCCCGTTGCCACAATCCAATCATTAAAAGGATTGAATGCTAAGCAGTTCATCTACCACAAAAGCATGAACAAGCAACAAGTTATGCCACTGCAATATATTGATACAAAAAAGCAGAAGTCTAAAATTTGGTACACACCTCACTTTCATGAGCCAGAAAACTTTGGACCGGTACGCTCAAACATGGAGAGCGGATATCCCATATGTGCAAGTTTCGGTCATCGCCACATGAACCAAATAAGGATTCATGCCTCGAATGCCATGCTACATCTTGTACAACATCTTCATTAACCTATTAAACATCAAAAGAATAATTTTAATACTTCCATATTTCTGTATAGAAAAATCTTTTATGAAGCTTGCTTTCTGATGCAGGACAGGTAAAATATAAGAGCATCTTGCACTGATCAAGAGACATTAAGCTCAAGGCTCACCACTTTGTCACACAACTCTTGAAGATGATCAGAATGTGTGATTTATTGTCACATAACATCAAACAGACAGACACTCGTCACAGCCATTAGCTGGCCAACTCCTGGTGTATTTCATGCCCACAAAGGAGTCTATAGCATAAACCTTAATTAAACGACTGTTGGAATCAATTTCTTTGTGAGCCACTAACAAGATCAATAGGCAAGCACACCATCAAAATTCAAGGACTAATGATATTCGAGTCTCCAAAAGAAAACTACCCAAGAACCTATAGGACGAAAGCAAAATAAGAGCAGCTACATGGGTTATTAAACCATTTCTATAGTTGAAACAACAACATAAATGGAAGATTTTGTTTACTTCAATTAGTTAGCTTCAACACTAGCATATCATGCTTTCCTTTTTCCAGCAATTCCTTATTTAAAAACTAACAATCGTCAATCGTGTGATGAACGCAAGCAATCATTGGTTGGTCTCCTGATCCTAGAAGACTTTGAGGTTGTTATGCGCCGACCCCAGGTCCAAGCCCATTAGGGTTATTAGGGCTGTTAATAAATAGGGGATATAGGGGAAAGCAGGGTATCCAGAAAATATTGTCTGTCCTTGGGAGCTTGGTTTAAAAATGCGCGCATTATGCGCTGTGATGCGCGATGCGCTCTGATGCGCTGAACAAAACGCATCAAGGAGTCTGATGCGTTGCGATTCCAGGATGCGATCGCATCACCTACGCATCACACGATGCATCACTTACGCATCAGCGCATCATGTATGTTGTGTTTTTGGGCTCCCTTTTTCAGTGTTTACTTGGGCTTTTAAGTTGGGCTTGGGCTTCTTAATTAACTAAGATAGAACGTGAGTGACTGTTAGCGATAGAACGTGACTGTTAGCGACCTAATCGATAGAAGCCGACAACAAAGAAGTAGAAGTAATCGATAGCAGAGCTGCAGAAGTCGAACCRGCARCAGTCAATTAAAACAYGACCTGAGTTGATACCARCARCARTAGTYGATTCGATACAGTAGTTGGTCACTTGGTTGGTCATTTAGTTTAGGGATTGGGACTATTAGACATTTAATTGTGTAATTGTGTTCTTCATGGTAGTAGTTTGTGTGTTATGTACTTCTGTTATTCTGATTCACGAACTTTTTAAGATTCTAATGCCACTTTTTTTAACTACTTTATGTTATAAATGAAGTATTTTGATAGGTAAGTATTTTTAAGGTAGAAATTGATATGTAGAATTAATTTATAAATATTTTTTGAATACCGGGCGCATCACGTGCGTGATGCGAGCGCATCAGCATCACGCATCACGCATCGGCTTCCGGGACCCTTAACGCATTGGACCGCATCGCGCTTTTTAAAACCAAGCTTGGGAGAGTCTAGCCTCTCGAATATCTAGTTATCTATCTTTTCTTGTTGATCAAAGCATCAGACTGCCGTTTCTTCTATATTGCTTTTATTATACTTGTTTAGTAAATTTGGTTCTTATCAAATTGGTATCAGAGCCATTCGAATCCACGGCCACGGAATCGCAATGGTTCTCATATTGTGTGTTTGAAGCCATTGGTACGAATCCAAAGAAGGTTAAAGCCACAAAGATGGAGTTAATTGGAATACAATCCATTGTTTCAGATCTTCAACGACAGTACCGGGATCGGATGGCGAATTTCAATCAAATTCTCAATAGAAACCGACGGAGGAGACACAAAATGTTTGTGAAGAGGTATGGGTTACTTGATCTACAGCTGATGCAGAGCTGTCCAGGAAATCGTCCCTAATACCAGCCTTAACAGTCTCATGGTTACGAAAGAGACCAGAAGAGGAGAAGAGGAAAATAAGCTCATAAAGAATGGAGAGAAGGTATTGCCAAGAGAAGAGGAGAGAAACGGGAAAGGAGTCTCCGGATTACTTAGTCGACGTGGGAGGATACCGAAACCTTTTGGACCTTATTAACCAAAGAGATACGGCAAACAGTTTCTGTCTATCCTTAAGAGTCTGGAAAAGTACGGTTCCGTCCAGGGTCAGACCAGAACCGTCAGATGTGGATTTCCCACCCCTCTGGTTGGTTTCCTTGGAAATTCGTTAACAGTCCCAAGTTCGATAGAGAGGGATGTGCTCCCAACTTTTGACGCATTTGCTTTGAGTTTCTGAAAGAATACAGTCAACATCATCCCTGTGCCTGATAGCTGGAAGTTCTCCAAAAGTATGAAAAGCTGGAGGACTTTGCACCATCTTCTTGTGATTTCTTCCAACTATGGTGTTATCATGATAGTTGATGAGGGACATGTAACATGGCAGCCTTTGTTCCTTTATTTTTTCTATCCACCTTGAGGACGACAAGGTGGTTCTTTGGGGGGCGGGTATGCGCCGACCCCAGGCCCAAGTCCATTATGGTTATTAGGGCTGTTAATAAATAAGGATAGAGGGGAGAGTAGGGTATCCAGAAAATATTGAGTCCGTCCTTGGGAGAGTCTAGCCTCTCAAATAGCTAGTTATGTATCTTTTCTTGTTAATCAAGCATCCGACTACCGTTCCTTCTACATTGCTTTATATTACTCGTTTAGTAAATTTGGTTCTTATCAGATGTCAAAACAGTGCAAGTAAAAGCCACGCCACCAAAAGAAAAGGAGAAAAAAACTTGGAAGTGGGTGATTGTTGCCATGCATGCATGCATGAGATAAATTATCCACGTCCTTGAAAATGAGGAGGCCTTTCATTTCTGTTTTTTGTTATAAAGGAGGGAATGAAAGAGAGTGAGGGAGAGAAGCCTCTAAAAAGTTAGCAATTACCGGTTGTAGCGTGTGTTGTGAGTGGTTGTACTTACAGGGAGAAATCAATACCAAAGGAAACACTTCCTCCAAGTTTGTTTGAAGTTATTTTTTTGTTGGCATATTGAGTTCCTTTAATTGGAAATCGATGAGAACATCCACTTTGAATTTGAAAGAGAAGGTAAGCTGTTCGCAGGGGCCAACTTGATCCTCTTCCCCAGGGATCCCCGATAAGGGGACCTTAGGAGAGCCGCGAGTAAACCACCGCCTCTCAGGTCCCCGACTGATTCTACGACATCGACAATGGAAGCAGAAGGAAGTACCCACCGGGGTAAAACAAACTTTCTGCAAACATAGATCAGTTGATGAAACAACTAGAGTCTGTGCTTGCAGTGATTCATTCACTACAACATGTTCTGCCAAAAGCTCGAGAAACATTGATGAAGAATCGATATAATGAAGATTTAAGTTCAAAGAAAGATGAAGAAGAGGATCAAGGTAGTGAAACTAGTGTGACTCGGGGTCATGGTTCTCACAGACCATTCAAAAAAGCTAGAAATCGACATTCCCACGTTCGATGGTAAAATTGATGCCGAGAAGCTAGATTCATGGATTGATCAACTAGAGACTTACTTCGCTCTCTACGGATTCAACAGTAGCCACAAGGTTTCTTTTGCAAGACTAAAGCTAACAAGTTGTAGAAAATATATTTAACTGATTGATATCCCTCTAGAATAGGGAACGAGACTTGTATATGTATACTTGGTGTCGTTCCTGTATTTAGGGTAATTATAGGCTGTCCTAGAATCTCTATGATTAATCTAGCATATTTGGTATTTATTACCATCTTTTTATTTGCACAAGGCCTATATACGACATCCTTCTCCTTGAATAATATTAATTCAAAGCCTATTATCTCTACATGGTATCAAAGATGTACTACCAATCTAAGAGACTCCTAAAGTTTTTTCCAGCCTAACTCATGGCCAATTCTAACTCTGTCAGTGATGACACCTCTGTCGACTCCACCAAGAATCAAAACCTCTGCTGGCTCTCCCACTCCATTTGACCACCAAACCCCTCTCCAAATCACAATCCACAAACTGAATGGTCATATTTTCTGCAATGATGCAAATCTGTGAAGATGTATCTCCGTCGAGGACGCTTAGGTATCAAACTGGCACTATTGCTGCTCCTGACACTGTTGATCACTCATATGCCAAATGGGAGTCATAAAACTATCTCATCATGGCCCGGCTCATCAACTCGATGGAGGTTGATATTGTTAGACTTACTTATCCCCCTTTCTACTGCTCGATAGGTGTTGGGAAACTGTCCAGGAGGCCTTCTCTGATTTGGAGAACTCAACTCAAATTTTTGAACTCAAATCCAAACTTCGTGATCAACCACAAAATTCTCTTACGGTAACTCAATATTATGGCATTACTTATAATCTTTGGCAAAAGATTGACCTTTTCTCGGTTCCTGAATGGAAATGTCCCGTTGATGCTTCTATTTATCCAAAAATGCTTGATCGAGAGACTTTTTTAATTTCCTTCATGGCCTTAACCGAGATCTTGATGAGGTCTGTGGTCGCCTCTTGGGAAATAATCCTCTTCCCATTATCCGTGAATCTTTTGCAAAAGTCCGTAGGGAAGAAAGTCGAAAGAGGGTAATGTTGAGATCACCATTACTACTGAACAATCTGCCCTTGCTTCCTGATCCCCCAATAATGGTATGGACCCTTGCGGAAATCGTAGTGAGAATCCCTGTTGCAATTGGAAGGAGCAATTTCAAAAAAAACAGGTCGACCTGATCAATGGCAGAAGTAAGAACCGGAAAAAATCCAGAACCAACAGAAGTGTGTCTTTCATCACCACGCTCTGATACCAATTGTTGTGAAATTACCGGAAATCTTTGAGAAAATTTAGATGTGTGAGGCAGAGAATTTCATTAGATGAGAAAAACGAATTGTTTACAACATGATTAGCCCTCTCTTATTTATAGGCTAAACAGAAAGAAAATAACAGACTAACTAATCTAAGACTACTAGAACTAAAGTCACACCACTCGACAGTAAGATTGCTAT